CGTCGTCGCGCCCTGCCGAGCGTCGTCGCCGTCGTCGCCGTCGTCGTCGTTGCCGTCGCCGCCGTCGCTGCCGCCGCCGCTGCCTCCGCCGCCGCGGTCGTCGTCGCCGTCGTCGCCGCCGCCGCCGCCGTCGACGTCGTCGTCGTCGACGTCGCGCCCTGGTAAGCGTCGGCGTCGTCGCCGCCGCCGCCGTCGTCGTCGTCGTCTTCGTCGTCGTCGCCACTGTCGTCGGCGTCGGCGTCGTCGTCGTCGTCGGCGTCGGCGGCGGCCTCGGCGGCGGCGGCGGCAGCGTCGTCGTCGTCGTCGTCGAACCTTGGCAAGCGTCGTCGCCGCCGCCGCCGTCGTCGCCGTCGTCGTCGTCATCGTGGTGGTGGGCGTCGGCGTCGTCGTCGGCGACGTCGCGCCCTGACGAGCGTCGTCGTCGTCGTCGTCGTCGTCGTCGTGGTGGTTGGCGTCGTGGTCGCCGCCTTCGTCGTAGTCGTCGTCGCCGTCGGCGTTGTCGTCGTCGTCGGCGTCGTCGTCGTCGTCGGCGGCGGCATCGGTGTCGGCGTCGTCGCCGTCGCCGTCGTCGTCGTCTTCGTCATCGTCGGCGTCGGCGTCGTCGTCGTCGCGCCTTGGCGAGCGTCGTCGTCGCCGCCGCCGTCGTCGTCGTCGTCGTCGTGGTGGTGATGGGCGTCGCGGTCGTCGTTGTCGTCGTCGTCGTCGTCGTCGTCGTCGTCGTCGCGCCTTGGCGAGCGTCGTCGTCGTCGTCGCCGCCGCCGTCGTCGCCGCCGTCGTCGTCGTCGTTGTCGTCGTCTTCGTCGGGGTGGTTGGCGTCGTCGTCGCCGCCTTCGTCGGAGTCGTCGTCGCCGTCGCCGTCGTCGCCGTCGTCGTCGTCGTCGTCTTCGTCGGCGTCGGCGTCGGCGTCGTCGTCGTCGTAGGCGTCGGCCTTGGCGGCCTGGCGTCGTCGTCGCGCCCTGGCGAGCGCCGTCTTCGTCGTCGTCGTCGTCGTCGCGCCCTGGCGAGCGTCGTCGTCGCCGCCGTCGTCGTCGTTGCCGCCGCCGCCGTCGCTGCCGCCGCCGCCGCTGCCGCCGCCGCGGTCGTCGTCGTCGTCGTCGTTGTCGTCATCGTCGTCGTCGTCGCCGCGCCCTGGCGCAAGTCGTCGTCGCCACCGTCGTCGGCGTCGGCGTCGGCGTCGTCGTCATCGTGGTGGTGGGCGTCGCCAAGGTCGTCGTCGCTGTCGGCGTCGCCGCCGTCGTCGTCGTCGTCTGGCGGGCGTCGTAGTCGTCGCAGCCGTGGTCGTCGTCGTCGTCGTCGTGGTGGAGGTGGGCGTCGCCGTCGTCGCCGTCGTCGTAGTCGTCTTGTCGTCGTCGTCGACGTCGTCGTCGGCGTCGTCGTCGGCGTCTGCGTCGGCCTCGGCGGCGGCGGCGAGTGCATCGTCGTCGTCGTCGTCGTCGCGCCTTGGCGAGCGTCGTCGTCGCCGCCGCCGTCGCCGCCGCCGTTGTTGTCGTCGTCGTAGCGCCCTGGCGAGCGTCGTCGTCATCGTCGCCGTCGCCTTCGTCGTCGTCGTCGCCGTCGTCGCGTCGTCGTCGTCGCGCCCTGGCGGGCGTCGTAGTCGTCGCAGCCGTGGTCGTCGTCGTCGTCGTGGTGGTGGTGGTGGGCATCACCGTCGTCGCCGTCGTCGTCGTCGTCGTCGCCGTCGCCGTAGCCGTCACGGTCGTCGTCGTCGTCGTCGTCGGCGTCGTCGTCGGCATCGTCGTCGTCGGTGTCGGCGTCGGCGTCGGCGTCGCCGTCGGCGTCGGCGGCAGCAGCGGCGACGGCGTCGTTGTCGTCGTCGTCTCGCCCTGGCGAGCGTCGTCATCGCCGCCGTCGGCGTCGTCGTCGTGGTGGTGGTGGGCGTCGCCGTTGTCGCCGTCGTCGTCGTCAGCGTTGTCGTCGTCGTTGTCGTCGTCGCCGTCGTCGTCGTCGTCGTCGTCGTCGTGGGCGTCGCCGTCGCTCCCTGGCGAGCGTCGTCGTCGTCGTAGCCGTCGTCTTCGTCGTCGACGTCGTCGTCGCCGTCGTCGTCGTCGTCGTCGTCGTCGTCGTCCTCGTCGTCGTGGTGGTGGGCGTCGTCGTCGCCGCCTTCGTCGTAGTCGTCGTCGTCGCCGTCGTCGTCGTCGTCGTCGTCGTAGCCGTCGTCGTCGTCGTCGTCGTCGTCGTCGTCGGCGTCGGCGTCTGCGGCGGCGGCGAAGACGGCGTCGTCGTCGTCGTCGTCGCTCCGAGGGGAGCGTCGTCGTCGTCGCCGCCGTGGTCGTCGTCGACGTCGTCGTGGTGGTGGTGGGCGTCGCCGTCGTCGCCGTCGTCGCCGTCGTCGCCGTCGCCGTCGCCATCGCCGTCGCCGTCGCCGTCGTCGTCGTCGTCGTCGTCATCGTCGTCGGCGTCGTCGTCGGCGTCGCCGTCGGCGTCGGCGTCGCGTCGGCGGCGCAGCGGCGACAGCGTCGTCATCGCCGCCGTCGGCGTCGTCGTCGTGGTGGTGGTGGGC